GCGGATCATTTATCAAAATTGATAATAGATTCGACATCTGACATCACACCAATTGATGATTACTTTCCTGATGAATCTTCACTTTCTATTGCTTCAATAGTTTGGTTTGCTAATATTGATAATTTTTTTACTTCAAGATTTTTGCTAGCTTATTTAGATATCCAAGACAAAAGAAAGTTTTGAAGCGACTTGCATAACTTTTATTGGGATGACCTTTACTTATTTAAATTTTGTCCTAATTAAATTTGTCAAAGATGCATTCTTGACAATGAGGTAAGTAGTGTCATTAAAATTTGTCATTCCGAGATATGTGGGGATCATTTCTCGTCAACAAAAACAATTACAAAAATCTTACAATATGGATTTTATTGGCCCACCATGTTCATGGACACATATGCGTTCTGCAAAACCTGTGAAAATTGTTAAAAGTTAGGATTTATTTTAAAACATAAAGAGTCCTTAGATAATCTTCTATTGACTCTTGGGACATACATTAATGGAGATGTAGATCATGTAATTCATGATTATGACCTCATTTTCATAAAGAATATGCTCGATATAGTCTTGAAAGTTTGACTAAAAAAGACCCTGTTTGTCTGTTTTTAAGAAAACTAGATGGGAAGCCTATCCTCGACCCATAGAGGGTATTTAAGTCGTTCTTGAATGTAAAACTAAGGGAATATATGAGCCACAATCACAACTACAATTTAAGCCTTAGTTTGTAAGAAATTGTGTCTTTTGGTTTTATTAATAGCATAATATTTGTGTTTTGTTGTTTTTTATATTTGTTTAAGTGTGTTTCAGGTTTGTCAGTGTTTATTGTTTCAGGTAATGTCTTCCATACTCTATTTTTCTACTTTAGGACATTAAGGACAATGTCTTATTTTGGTTGGAGGGAGAGGGTAGTACTTTAAAAAAAAAGAACTAACTAACTAACTGCTTTGTTTTTAATAAAATCATTTGACAAAACTATTATTACTAGGATGACAGAGTAAGAGAGAATTTTATTAACTCTTGAGACACATCTTAATAAACATTTTCCAATGGTTATTTGCAATATTCAAAACAAGGTCTATCACATACTTCTAATGAAATATTTATATTTACAAACTCTCACATTGTTATCACATGATTCTACTCATATACTCATTTAAAAAGTATTCTTAAACTTTTATTTTCACACACACACTTTAACATATGATTGTAGGTTGCACATTGGATTATTACATTGCTTATATTCTATTGTTAAAGGTAATAACTAAGAGAAAGAGATTGTATATAATTTGCAAAAAAAAATTTGATAATATTGATGATAATAAAAACGTAGATAAGTTTGGTTTCGTAGCTTCTCTAACCTAAACAATTAAGCCCGAAGGGGTGTTTTAGCATCTAATACCTTAAAGTCAACTAACTTTAGAGCTATTGGCCTAGTGCTTGTTACATAGGTTAAGGAGAAAAGCTTAAGAGAGTCAAATATTATATTATCCGCGTATAGTATCTACAACCCGAGTTACTAAACTTGTAAGGGTGTTTCAACATCTAATGCCCTAAAACCAACTAGTATGGGAGACATTAGCTGAAAGCTCATTACATAGGATAAAGATGTATTATGTTTTAAGTTATATACATTAATATATATATATATATATATAATCTCAAACTAAGAAAGTTAACCTTAGAAAATCATTAGAACATAATATTGTTTTCGTCCAATAAAAGCCCATCATCTATGTTTTCATACATTGAGCACATAAAAAGAAGGTTTATTAATATATTGTTTCAATAAGGCAGATATATAAATTTAATGAGAGTTTATTTATTTGGATAGATTAAAGGAAGTTGAATAATGAATGTCTTGCTTTGTGGAATGACACGACCAAAAGATTAATGTCTTCTCCCAAGTGCAAGAGTGTCGAAGTAATAAATAACTCAGCAAGATCGGGGTTGAACCACATGGAGGTTAACTGTATAAATTATATATAACAACAATACAATAACCACAATAACAACAACAACAACAACAACAACAACAACAACAACAACAACAACAACAACAACAACAACAACAACAACAACAACAACAACAACAACAACAACAACAACAACAACAA